CACTATATCAATTGCAAAGATTATTGATTTGTATCTTTATTTAATAATAATAATCCTTGCATTTGATATAGTGCCTAATCATGTCTTTTGAGACTTATCAAAGCGCTTCCCAGAATATATTGTAAAGTGAATTGCCTGTATATTTTGTGAGTGAAAACTTTGTTTCATTATTGAACATCATACAAGTTATACCAGAGGAAGAAGTCATTTCTGTCCAATGGAGCAAAAGCTGGGAACCAAACTTCTCCACTGGAATCCCACCCTCATTGAGAGAGCAGGTGCATTGCCAGGCAGAGAGTGTACAGAAGCATTGCCAGGCACAGAGAGAGAGCAGGAGCATTGCCTGGCAGAGAAAGAGTGCAGGAGTATTGCCAGGCAGAGAAGGAGTGCAGGAGCATCTCCGGGCAGAGAGGGGGAGAGAGAGTGCAGAGCATTGCCAGGCAGAGAGTGCAGGAGTATTGCCAGGCAGAGAAAGAGTGCAGGAGCATTGCCAGGCAGAGAGAGAGAGAGTGCAGGAGCATTGCCAGGCAGAGAGAGAGAGAGAGAGAGAGAGAGTGCAGGAACATTGCCAGGCAGAGAGAGAGCGAGTGCAGGAGCATTGCCAGGCAGAGACAGAGAGAGTGCAGGAGCATTGCCAGGCAGAGAGAGAGTGCAGGAGCATTGCCAGGCAGAGAGAGAGTGCAGGAGCATTGCCAGGCAGAGAGAGAGAGGGTGCAGGAGCATTGCCAGGCAGAGAAAGAGAGTGCAGGAGCATTGCCAGGCAGAGAAAGAGAGTGCAGGAGCATTGCCAGGCAAAGAGAGTGCAGGAGTATTGCCAGGCAGAGCGAGAGAGAGTGTGCAGGAGCATTGCCAGGCAGAGAGAGGGTGCAGGAGCATTGCCAGGCAGAGCGAGAGAGAGAGTGCAGGAGCATTGCCAGGCAGAGCGAGAGAGAGGGTGCAGGAGCATTGCCAGGCAGAGCGAGAGAGAGGGTGCAGGAGCATTGCCAGGCAGAGCAAGAGAGAGGGTGCAGGAGCATTGCCAGGCAGAGAGAGAGTGCAGGAGCATTGCCAGGCAGAGAGAGAGAGGGTGCAGGAGCATTGCCAGGCAGAGAAAGAGAGTGCAGGAGCATTGCCAGGCAGAGAAAGAGAGTGCAGGAGCATTGCCAGGCAGAGAGAGGGTGCAGGAGCATTGCCAGGCAGAGCGAGAGAGAGAGTGCAGGAGCATTGCCAGGCAGAGAGAGGGTGCAGGAGCATTGCCAGGCAGAGAGAGAGAGAGGGTGTGCAGGAGCATTGCCAGGCAGAGCGAGAGAGAGGGTGCAGGAGCATTGCCAGGCAGAGCGAGAGAGAGGGTACAGGAGCATTGCCAGGCAGAGCGAGAGAGAGGGTGCAGGAGCATTGCCAGGCAGAGAGAGAGAGAGGGTGCAGGAGCATTGCCAGGCAGAGAGAGAGAGAGAGAGAGTGCAGGAGCATTGCCAGGCAGAGAGAGGGTGCAGGAGCATTGCCAGGCAGAGAGAGGGTGCAGGAGCATTGCCAGGCAGAGAGGGTGCAGGAGCATTGCCAGGCAGAGAGAGAGAGAGAGGGTGCAGGAGCATTGCCAGGCAGAGAGAGTGCAGGAGCATTGCCAGGCAGAGAGAGGGTGCAGGAGCATTGCCAGGCAGAGCGAGAGAGAGTGCAGGAGCATTGCCAGGCAGAGAGAGGGTGCAGGAGCATTGCCAGGCAGAGAGAGAGAGAGGGTGTGCAGGAGCATTGCCAGGCAGAGCGAGAGAGAGGGTGCAGGAGCATTGCCAGGCAGAGCGAGAGAGAGGGTGCAGGAGCATTGCCAGGCAGAGCGAGAGAGAGGGTGCAGGAGCATTGCCAGGCAGAGTGAGAGAGAGGGTGCAGGAGCATTGCCAGGCAGAGCGAGAGAGAGGGTGCAGGAGCATTGCCAGGCAGAGAGAGAGAGAGGGTGCAGGAGCATTGCCAGGCAGAGAGAGGGTGCAGGAGCATTGCCAGGCAGAGAGAGGGTGCAGGAGCATTGCCAGGCAGAGAGAGGGTGCAGGAGCATTGCCAGGCAGAGAGAGAGAGAGGGTGCAGGAGCATTGCCAGGCAGAGAGAGGGTGCAGGAGCATTGCCAGGCAGAGAGAGGGTGCAGGAGCATTGCCAGGCAGAGAGAGGAGCAGGAGCAGGAGCATTGCCAGGCAGAGGAGAGAGAGGTGGCAGGAGCATTGCCAGGCAGAGAGAGAGAGGGTGTGCAGGAGCATTGCCAGGCAGAGAGAGGGTGCAGGAGCATTGCCAGGCAGAGAGAGAGAGGGTGTGCAGGAGCATTGCCAGGCAGAGAGAGAGAGGGTGTGCAGGAGCATTGCCAGGCAGAGAGAGGGTGTAGGAGCATTGCCAGGCAGAGAGAGAGAGGGTGTGCAGGAGCATTGCCAGGCAGAGAGAGAGAGGGTGCAGGAGCATTGCCAGGCAGAGAGAGAGAGAGGGTGCAGGAGCATTGCCAGGCAGAGAGAGAGGTGCAGGAGCATTGCCAGGCAGAGAGAGGGTGCAGGAGCATTGCCAGGCAGAGAGAGAGAGAGGGTGCAGGAGCATTGCCAGGCAGAGAGAGGGTGCAGGAGCATTGCCAGGCAGGCAGGAGCATTGCCAGGCAGAGAGAGAGAGGGTGTGCAGGAGCATTGCCAGGCAGAGAGAGAGTGCAGGAGCATTGCCAGGCAGAGAGAGAGTGCAGGAGCATTGCCAGGCAGAGAGAGAGGGTGCAGGAGCATTGCCAGGCAGAGCGAGAGAGAGAGTGCAGGAGCATTGCCAGGCAGAGAGAGGGTGCAGGAGCATTGCCAGGCAGAGAGAGGGTGCAGGAGCATTGCCAGGCAGAGAGAGAGAGAGGGTGCAGGAGCATTGCCAGGCAGAGAGAGGGTGCAGGAGCATTGCCAGGCAGAGAGAGGGTGCAGGAGCATTGCCAGGCAGAGAGAGGGAGCAGGAGCATTGCCAGGCAGAGCGAGAGAGAGAGTGCAGGAGCATTGCCAGGCAGAGAGAGAGAGGGTGTGCAGGAGCATTGCCAGGCAGAGAGAGGGTGCAGGAGCATTGCCAGGCAGAGAGAGAGAGGGTGTGCAGGAGCATTGCCAGGCAGAGAGAGAGAGGGTGTGCAGGAGCATTGCCAGGCAGAGAGAGGGTGTAGGAGCATTGCCAGGCAGAGAGAGAGAGGGTGTGCAGGAGCATTGCCAGGCAGAGAGAGAGAGGGTGCAGGAGCATTGCCAGGCAGAGAGAGAGAGAGGGTGCAGGAGCATTCCCAGGCAGAGAGAGAGTGCAGGAGCATTGCCAGGCAGAGAGAGGGTGCAGGAGCATTGCCAGGCAGAGAGAGAGAGAGGGTGCAGGAGCATTGCCAGGCAGAGAGAGGGTGCAGGAGCATTGCCAGGCAGAGAGAGGGTGCAGGAGCATTGCCAGGCAGAGAGAGAGAGGGTGTGCAGGAGCATTGCCAGGCAGAGAGAGAGTGCAGGAGCATTGCCAGGCAGAGAGAGAGTGCAGGAGCATTGCCAGGCAGAGAGAGAGGGTGCAGGAGCATTGCCAGGCAGAGCGAGAGAGAGAGTGCAGGAGCATTGCCAGGCAGAGAGAGGGTGCAGGAGCATTGCCAGGCAGAGAGAGAGAGAGAGTGCAGGAGCATTGCCAGGCAGAGAGAGGGTGCAGGAGCATTGCCAGGCAGAGAGAGAGAGAGTGAACGTTTTTGGAGCCCGAGCGACTTGCTCGCGTGTCGATTACTCGGGCCTCCTTCGGGCCCCTGTCCTCTGTTTACGCGATGGCTTTTTTCCATTGCTTTGGGCTGTCTGTGCGCGCGGTTCGCGCTTCTGGAAAGGGCTCTCGAGGCCTTTGTGTTTCTGTGAGAAACCGAAGCCCTCTCTCACCCCACACACCGACACCACACACACACACCCCGACACCCGACACCCCCCCACACACACCCCGACACCCCACACCCCGACACCCCCCCACACACACCCCCCCACACACCCCGACACACCGACACCACACACACACACCCCGACACCCCCCCACACACACCCCGACACCACACAACCCGACACCACACACCCCCAGAGACCACCCCCCCCACACCCCGACACCACACACCCCCACACACCCCGACACCACACACCCCGACACCACACACCCCCAGAGACCACCCCCCCCACACACCGACACCACACACCCCGACACCACACACCCCCACACACCGACACCACACACCCCCAGAGACCACCCCGACACCACACACACACACCCCGACACCACACACCCCCACACACCCCGACACCACACACCCCCAGAGACCACCCCCCCCACACACACCGACACCACACACACCACCCCGACACCACACACCCCAGAGACCACCCCCCCCACACACACCGACACCACACACACACACCCCGACACCACACACCCCCAGAGACCACCCCCCCCCACACACCGACACCACACACACACCGACACCACACACCCCCAGAGACCACCCCCCCACACACACCCCGACACCCCCCCACACACACCCCGACACCACACACACCGACACCACACACCCCCACACACACCCCGACACCACACACACCGACACCACACACCCCCAGAGACCACCCCCCCACACACACCGACACCACACACCCCAGAGACCACCCCCCCCACACACACCGACACCACACACCCCGACACACACCCCGACACCACCCTCCCCCCCACACACCCCGACACCACACACACCCCGACACCACCCTCCCCCCCCCCACACACCCCGACACCACCCCCCCCCCGACACCCCCCCCCCCCCCCCAGAGACCACATACACCCCCCGGAGACCATACACACCCCCCGACACCTCATACACCCCCCGACACCGCATACACCCCCCGGAGACCATACACACCCCCCGACACCACATACACCGGAGAGACCATATACACACACACACACAAGACCATATACACCAGACAGGGGGAGGGGGGCGGGACACTCAGGCAGACCGGCTGCTCCGACCGAGACCATTAGACACGCGATGAGCAGGAAGGAGGAGGAGGAGATCGTCCGAATCGCCAAGAAGATGGATAAGATGGTGTCCAAGAAGAGCACGGTGAGTGAGGCCGTTACCGTGAGAGCGGCCCGGCCCGGCCCTCCCCGACCTGGCCCGGCCCTCCCTGGCCCGGCCCGGCCCTCCCTGGCCCGGCCCTCCCCGACCCGGCCCTCCCCGACCTGGCCCGGCCCTCCCCGGCCCGGCCCGGCCCTCCCCGACCCGGCCCTCCCCGGCCCTCCCCGACATGGCCCGGCACTCCCCGACCCGGCCCTTCCCGACCCGGCCCGGCCCGGCCCTCCCCGACCCGGCCCGGCCCGGCACTCCCCGACACGGCCCGGCCCTCCCCGACCCGGCCCGGCCCGGCACTCCCCGACACGGCCCGACCCGCGAGCAGAGCAGAGCTTTCCCCGGGGCTGCTCTTCTCTCTCCCCCTCCCCCCACCCTCAGAGCGGGGCCGGGACTGGTCACTTCACTCTGAACCAAGGCCCCATTCTCTCCCTCGGTCTCACGGACGAGGCCCTGTATGACAGGAGCTGTGCCCGCGGCGGTTGATCGGATGGACCTTGAGGCCGAGTAACACACAATTGGACGCTGAGGTTCAAAGCGAGTGGCGCGGGCGCCGCGTGTCCCTCACACACACACACACACACACACCACACACACCTCAGCCTCGCTGAACTGCACCAGATCCCGCACTACTGCAGCCGGGGGGTGGGGGGGTGGTGGGGTGTAGGGTGGGGGGGTGTAGTGGGGTTGGGGGTGTAGTGGGGTTGGGGGTGGGGTGGGGGGTAGTGGGGTGGGGTGGGGTATAGTGGGGTGGGGTGTAGGGTGGGGTGTAGTGGGGGTGGGGGTGTAGTGGGGTTGGGGGTGGGGTGGGGGGGGTGTAGTGGGGTTGGGGGTGGGGTGGGGGGGTAGTGGGGTGGGGTGGGGGGGTGTAGTGGGGGTGGGGGTGTAGTGGGGTTGGGGGTGGGGTGGGGGGGTAGTGGGGTGGGGTGTAGTGGGCTGGGGTGTAGGGTGGGGTGTAGTGGGGTGGGTTGTGGGGGGGTATAGCCATTCAGCCTTCAAATATAGCAGCCGCCAAACTGAGATTCTTGTCGATCCACATGAACAAACCCGAGCTTCCACTTACAGACGTGTTAAAATCTTATTAGAAACTGTGAGCAAAGTGTCATCGCCCACACATATACAGCCACTTCACAGTCTATTCTGTGAAGCGCGTTGAGACGTCGAGAAGACGTGATAAGCGCTCTATCAAATGCAATGATTATTATTATTATTATTGCATCATAGAACAACTCTCCCCATCGCCCTTGATCCTTTGCTTAAACGCTCTTATTTCCTGTGTTAATTTCAGCTCCTTCCAAGTGAGGTGTCTAACGTTCAAGGGATCCAGTAAAAACATCGGAACAACAAATACAAGAAAATCGTTAGATTGCTTTTCTTTTATTTGCTCATCATTTTTTTAAGAAACAAAATCACAGGATTTTGGAAACATTTGAAAAATTGCAACATCAAGAATTGATCTTAAATGGCTGCTGTTCATTAGTTAATTTTCTTTATCTCGGAGAACATTACAGAGAGGGATTGTTATACTGTATAATATAATGGGTTGCAACTCAAGGGCATAAGACCGTAAGTAAAACCGATTATTTTAATCTTGCATTGGTTAATCCACAATTAGAATATTGTGTACAGTTTGGACTTTCTACTTTCAAAAGAATATCAGTGTATTAGAAAGGACTTGGAGAAGCGAAACAAAGATAATAATAATTCTTGCATTTGATATAGTGCCTTATCACACAAGATAAGTCTTCTACTTCTAACCAGGCCTCTGGCCACATGATTAACTGGACAAAATCTTGACATTGCACTTCTTGGTATATCCTGTAAAGCACTTTAAGTTGTCCTCCTGACATGAAAGGTGCTATATCAAATGCAAGGATTTATATTGCTCAGGTGACAGTGCTACCACTTAAATAGTACAGCATTTACATTTAAATATATCAAGTAATTGAAGAGTTTTGGTCCTAATTGACATCTACCTAAATAATCTGACCTTTACCTGGTTGCACGTACTGTCTATGGAATGAAATGCTGACCTTTCAGCTAATGGCGTAAGAGACACTCAAGCACTCAAAAGATTTTCAGTCCTAGATGTTTCATGGTGATTTGCTACATTTTATTGCGGGACCTCCAATAGTGACAAGAATGGTGTTGATGACTAATTCACACTGAAGGATTTGTGTTTTATAGAGAGCCTTGCACAACTGAGCTTATTGTCATTGTTGAACAGAAGCCAGAGAGGATGTACCTTGTAGGTTTTGAAACAACTAAGAGGAATTAGTGATTTAGTTGCAAGTAAGTTATTTAACTTGGAGAGCTCCAAGCGAGAAGTAAATTCAATGAATACAAATTAAATGCAAACAGGACTTGAGTTTTGAAGGATTTTCTTCCCTGCCAAGTTGTAGATGCGTCATTCACTATTTGAAAAAGAGAACAGAGTGCCTTCCAGTGTCCTGGCCATTCTCCAGATAAATTGATTATCCGACAAAGGACTGTTTGTGGGACACTGTTGTGTGCAATTGGCTGTTGCGTTTCGCCTGCAAAATATACAGTCAATTCACTTTGAGTATATTCTGTGAAGTGTTCAGGGACGTCTCAAAGAGGTGATAAGGCGCTATATCAAATGCAAGGATTATTATTATTCACTTTATGGCTTTTGTGGGAACTTGGGTGCAAAATGGCCAGCACATTTGGCTGCAAATAAACAGTTACTACTCTTGAATATTTTGTAATGTTTTGACTTTATAAGTATCATATAAAATGCAAGGGTTATTTATTATTTACTACTGTATCTAGAATGCATTTTCCTGATATGTGGGATATTCTGAATGTGTAATATGGATCGATAATATCGATTAAAGCAAAAATGTGATAGCTGTCATAATATAGCGGAGAGTCTAAATGGATACCAGATATGAAAGTCTTTTCAGGGGTTAGTTTCATTCCCAAGTATTTTAGAACTACAGAAACTTAGTATCAAAATAAAATCATAAATGGAAATTTAAGCAGATTAATCTGAATGAAATTGCATTAGTATATATAAAATATATATAATAATAATCCTTGCATTTGATATAGCAATTTTCACGTCTTCAAGATGTCTCAAAGCGCTTCGCAGAATATACTGTAAAGTGAATTGAGTGTATATTTGTGGGCAAAACGCAGCAACCAATTGCGCAGAGCAATTGTGCACTCTGTGCGCTATATACTCCAAAATATGTTTTGAATTCAGTTAAACAGTAATCATATTGGGCATTCTGTTGTATTGTGGGATGGCATATTTTTGCTGGTTATGAACAGTTATCAAAATGGTATCAATAAAAGAAGAAAACAGAAATGGTTGTACCAGGGAGAAAGAGGTTGGAAGGAAGAAATTTTTTTATGGTAGGAGTGTTAGTACCGGGAAATTGAATACTTAGCTATTTTTGGGAACCCATTGTCAGTATCAAATGCTCGTAGATCAAGTTTAGTTGACGATTATAATATACATTTGCCATGCTGCTACCCGGGGAAGCCATTTCTCTGGTCATAACGCTGCAATATAATAATCCTTGTATTTGATACAGTAACTTTCAAGTCTCAAAGCACTTCACAGGGTGTACTGTAAAGTGTAGTGAATGTATTTTTGTAACTGAAGCCAATTTATATACAGCAGTGTGTCACGAATAGCCATGAAGTGAATGACCAATTTTATTTGGGGGAATTATTGAACAGGACATGGTGGGAAACTCGCTTCTCTTTTCAAATAGTATAATACTACCTTCAATATTCACCTGAACAGACAGAGCGGACCTTGATTTAACTTCTCATCTGAAGGATGGAAGCTCTTAACAATGCAGCACATACCAAACATTGCATTGGAGTGTCAGCTTTGACAATGAGTTCCAAGTCCTGACATAGACCTGAACTCGCATTTCTAACTCAGAGGTGAAAGTGCTACTAACTGACCCAGGGTGACATCTAAAAGCAAAGTCTCTGATTGTGTTGATGATTGTGTTGAGTCGTGATCTCTCATCATGTTTCAGGAAATAGCAGTGCTTGGAGATAGCAGCATAAACGATTCTCATCTTCTTTTCCCTTTTAATTTTGTTAAGATTAAACTGGCTATTTTTCTCACACCACCTTAAATTCGTGTGGGGATTTGCTCATTTTATTTATTTTAAAAAACTTTATATTTTGCCCCCATGCTATGGCTTTGTCTTTGTTACTCGATAATTTGCTTCCAGGAGGTGCCAGAGACCAGTTGAGGAGAACTTGCTCTTTGAGTCTGTGTTTTGTATTCTACCTTCCCTGCTCCTTCCTCTTCCCTACAATGTGTCTGCATTAAATGCAGAATGAGAACAAACTGGACAGTTAATTTTGTTCTTACAATTTGCATTCCTGTGGATTCTGCCCATCTTACCCACAGAGGGGGCTGGCTGACCACAAGCAGACTAGCTCACTGATCGATCAGCTGGGAGCTGAAATCACGTGCTTCTTTTGGGAAATAAGGCCTGCAAAGCCAGGGTTTAGATTCTGACATGACATTATAAACCATCCCTCTTTGTTATCTGTTCTTTTTAAAAGCTTAGCCATATCCATGAAGTGAAAGAGAATTTAGTCAGAATGAAAACTTAGAGTCATTATTTACTGGAAAGGGTCAAAATGACGAAAGGTTGTTTTGAAGGTATCTCGGTGGCCATATAATTAGTTATTCCAGACCTCATTATATGGCCACCATGAGGTATCCTACATTGAGGTGCTTAAGTTTGCCAAACCTGTACGAGTATTTTACCTGATTGTGTATCTTTAGTGTTTGATACACACGAGTGCATCTCCTCCAACATTCAATAACTAGAAGTACCTTTTAATGGCCAGTGTATCGCTGAAATTCAGGTCAGAAGCCCGATAGGTTTCATTCCGGTTATTAATGCACCTGGAACAAACATCAAAGGCTCACTTAACTTCACAAATGCAGCTTATTATACGTTTGACTATTTTGCATACAGATCAAATTTGCTGCTTTTGAGTGGAAGCCTAGCCAATCAGAGACCGTTAGATTAGGCATCTTGTGGTTTGATCAGTGCATGTGCACTTTACTGGTACTGTTGTGGCCTATCTGCCTTAGTAATCTCACCACTTACTACTGTTTATTTTAGATATCTTTAAGATCCAGTGTGGTTTATGCCATGACAGATTGAATGAATCATATTGTTACTGATCCAGGATTGGTAATTACATTTCTGTACTTTTAATTGAAGACTAAAATGATTTTTAATTTGGGCATTCTGTGAAAAAGTCATGTTATTACTGTACTTGCAATAGATGCACTTTTAAAAGTCTAATTTTCCTTTGTTCATTATACAGTACATAATAATTTTATGATTATATAGTGTTCATATGCATTTCTAGATATTGACCTAATTGAAAGTTGAGTGAGTTTGGTGGATCTCAAATTGTGTTTTGAGTATTGACAAATATATATTATGAAATCAGCAGTGTAGTGACCGTGCATCTCAAAATATGTTGGTTGTATGCTATGTTCTTCTGTGACTGCTGGTCTGCTGCTCAGCCATGAGATGTGGGAGTGTCTTATCACAGTACTTTAAATACAGATCCTCTTGTCATCCTTCCATTTTCCCAGCAGGGGACTTGTGTACAGAATTTGTGCTACTAGGCCAATGATTTTATTTCAAAAATGACATACGCTGCATTGCAGGCAGCAGAAACAAAGGCTGAATCATTGGACTTGTGGTTTTATTGAAAAGTAAGTCACCAACTATATAATTTAAACCCACAGGACTGACAAATTGATTTTATTTTTCTATGATTCTTAAATCCTGTTTGTAGGCTTGTAGATGTCAAAGATCGCATGATACCATTTGAAACAAGCATGTGTTGTGTACTGATGTCTTGGTCAACAACTCTCCACATTGATTGTTCATTCATCTCGTGGAATTTTTGTGGGTCCTCGCAGGCTCAAAATGGCTGCCCACAAAACGGTTTCTACACCTAACTGTAGTTGCTCGTGAAACATTTTGTGATATTTTAATGTGTCGAGGCTCTATATAATTGCAAATTCTTTCAAACTTTGTCGGTAGTTTAGAAAAGAAACATTTAGATTTAATAATAATCCTTGCATTTGATATAATCCCTTATCATGTTATCAAAATGTTTCAAACTATTCACAGGGTATACTGCAAAGTGGAGTGTTTGTGTGTATTTTGTGGGCAAATGAGGCAGTCAATTTGTGCACAACAATGTCCCACAAACAGCCATAGAGTGAATGACAAATGTTATTTGGGGGCTTGTTGGCCAAGACATTGGGAAAAACTCAAATAAGTGCCATAAGACGTTGGAGCAGGAATAGGCCATTCAGCCCCTCGAGCCTGCCCTGCCATTTAATAAGATCATGGCTGATCTTGTAACCTAATTCCATTTGCCCACCATATCCCCATATCCCTTAATCCCTCTATCCTTTAGAAATCTTATCAACCTCAGTCTTGAATATGTTCAAAGACTGAGCATCCACAGCCTTCTGGGGTAGAGAATTCCACAAATTCACTACCCTCTGAGTGAAGAAATGTTTCCTCAACTCAGTTCGAAAAGGCTGACCCTTAACCTTGAGACTATGAACCCTAGTTTTAGATACTCCAACCAGGGGAAACAGTCTCATGGGATCTACCCTGTCAAGACCCTTAAGAATCTTATAGGTTTCTATAAGATCACCTTTAATTCTTCTATATTCTAGGGAATATAGGCCTAGTTTACTCAACCTATCCTCATAGGTCAACCCCTTCATCCCAGGAACCAACCTAGTGAATCTACGCTGAACCCCCTCTAAGGCAATTATGTCCTTTCTTAAATGAGACCAAAACTGCACAAAATATTCTAGGTGTGGTCTCACCAAGGCCTTAGACAAGTGCAACAAGACTTCTCCAACCCTTTTGCAATGAACGCCAACATGGCATTAGCCTTCCGAGTTACTTGCTGTACCTGCATACTAGCTTTTTGTGACTGGTGTACAAAGACACCCTTTGAACACTAACACTATCTTATCTCTCCCCCTCTAGAAAATAATCCGCTTTTCTATTTTTACTACCTAGGTGAATAACATCACACTTCCCCACGTTATACTCCATCTGCCACCTTCTTGCCCATTCACCCAGTCTGTCTATTTCCCTTTGCATTCTTCGTGTGTCATCCTCACAGCTTACTCTCCCACCTATCTTCGTATCGTCCGCGAATTTAGATATGTTAAGTTCTATTTCCTCATCTAAACCATTGATATAGACTAAAATAATTGAGACTCAAGCACTCCACTAGTCACATCCTGCCAATCTGAGAAGGACCTGTTTATCCCTCCTCTCTGTTTTCTTCCTGTTAGCCACTCTCCAATCCATGCTAATATATTGCCTTTAATTCCATGGTTTCTAATCTTACGCAACAGCCTTTAATGTGGCACCATGTACATAACCCTCAAGTGTGTCCCAGGTTTTATTTAAATTTGTTTTTTTATGGCATCAATGTACAGTGTACAGAATATTCTCTGAAAAGCCTCACAGACCTGTTTGCTGGGAGCAGTTGCCCTGAAATATACTGAGGCTGAGGGTCACCTCGCAGAGTATCCAATTTAGGATTATTAGTGGTAGGAATTTGCTGGACTTATTTTCTTTGTTTCAAAACTGATGTGGGAATATTGTTTCGAACATTATAAACCTACACGTATTATAATATTTGGGTATTATGCAAGATCAGGAGGTGGTAGTCCCAATGTATTAAATAATTTTTTAATATCGTTTTTCATAAATAAACATAATGGCCAAATTCCAGAGCTTTGTGTTTGCTTAGGAAACAGACACAAGGTGATCAAAAGAGTTTGTGTCATGAAAAAACTTAAAAGAAGGGATGATTTACATGGCGAGCAGAGAACACGCATTGGACATGGCCTACAATCTGCAAGTAAATGTCCTGTGTTTCACTCTTGGATCCTCAAGATAATGGGTGAAGTTCTGCTTTATAGTTTTAAAAGAAACATGAACCTGGAAGTTATAGATAAATTAATAAAAATGCTTGAGAGTATTGGATGCATTAGATTGAATGCTGTCAATGCTCATCTAAAAACCTCAGGGCTCTAAAACTATTAACATGGATTTAGAGTGGTGCCTCACAAATCCACTGGATAACTTAAGTTACACTTTGTTTCAGGTTACGTTATTTTTTTAACCATACCTGGGTGGGAAAAAGGATATCTTCCTTTTCCACATTGTTACTTCAACAATATTATTTAAAAGTAACTTATTAGAAACTGAGAGATTTGTGTTCTTTTACAGATTGGAGCCTTGGACTTGCTGAGGGAGCTAAAGAACATTCCTATGAGTTTGGAATTATTGCAGGTACGTTCCCCATGGTGTAAAAACTGGGACAATTGTGAAAAGCATGTCAGCAGTTTTTGGAGCTAAAATGTTGCATTTTTATTGATTACTTGTTTACAGTTTATACATTCATCTAGTGGTGTTTTACTCAAGCCATTGAACACCAGCAGTGTATCAGTACCTTTGTGCTTTCTTTCATCATCCGGAGACCTGTAGTTCAGCGGTTAAAGCACTCGCCTCGCAAGAGAGAAACCTGGATTCGATTCCTGGCAGGGCGAAACGTTGGGCAACTTTGCTTACTCTACACGCCTCTGTTTACCTAGTAGTAAGTAGGAACCCGGTTGTTAGTTGATTGGCGGATTGCTTTTCCGGGGGGGAATAATTCCTTTAAGAAAAAATAATAAATTGGTCACTAAATCCACGACTGTTTGCGGGACACTGATGTGTGCAATTGGCTGCCATGTTTCGCCCACAAAATATACAGTCAAAATTCAAAAGGCGCTATATCCAATGCAAGGATTATTATTGTTATTACCCTTAATTCCCTCTTCTTTCTCCCCCCCACCCCAACATACTTAAGCAATTTTAGATGTTCATTCTTTCTGTGTGAAAGGCGCTTATGTTCTTAAGGCAATTTACTTCACATTCAAATAACAGCGGGTTTTAACTCAAGTAGAATGGATGTTTGTTCACCAGTTTTTTTTTTGGTAGTGTTTAAATGGGGAGCATCGCTTTAATAAACAAACAGGCCAGTGTAGTTGAACTTTGTGGTGAATTGCAAACAAATTCCTCAGATAATGGAATGAATGCACCTCTGGAAATTGATGGGGTTAATGGTGCCTCACCATCATAAAATTTGCCTCGCATAAGCTAAGTCCAGTGTGGACCTCTCGCTCTGCTGCATGATACCGATTCAAGATCTGAGTAATGTACATTGGATTCCCTGCAGTTTATGCCACGAGATGTCAGTAATGTTTCTGCTTCCCAGGGGAACCTTTTTCAGTCACAGTGAATTCTTTAAAATCACAATGAGTTCAATTCTAAAACTAAACAGAAGGTGGCAGGATATTAATTCTACAGAAACTGGTATGTAATTTCAGAGATTGGTAGAGGAAGGATCCACATCACAGTGTTTACATCCAATGGTCTAATCACACTGGAGTATTTGGGGGTCTCGCTTTCTGGTTCAATCAAAGATTATAAACAACTCTCACATCAGATCCTCCCCTTACATTTTATGGTTTACCATGATGTAATTTTATTTAAGAATGTATATTAACATAGGTAAATATAATTAGTAAAATTTGGACAGTGTTTTTTTCCAGNAAAAAAACTTTTTCAATGGGTCCTCCTTCAATATTTTATGGTCATCTGGGAGAGGATGAGCCTGGCAGAGGAACAGGATTCCCTTTTAGTTTTTTTAAAGACTAAAGCCAGGTGGAAATTTGAGTCTCTAATCTTTGAGTTCGCTCTGGGAGATGCATAAATGGGAACAGATTGGGACCTAGGTTAATGAGGCCTACTTGGCCCTACTTCTGTTTTTGTTTTGGAGCATATCAAAGACCAGTGTCCCAACATGAAAGTCTATATAAATGTAATATTGTATTATTTAATGGATTTAATGAAAATGAGCTCCATGTTGGCTAACATGGCAGTGAAGAACTGAATCTACACCGAATCAGTCTTAAAGTGGACTGGCGACCACGGTTAGTTAAAAATTGATTGCTTTCCACCACCTGAATAACATGGTAGTCTATGGCTTATATATTAGTTATGTAACCGTTATTATCCTTTTTTTAGAAACCGAATTTCTCTCTTGAGTGTTCCATCAATATTCAATTCTAGTTCAGATCTTGTTGCACTTTTTAAGTTGCAATCCACTCATTTTCTCATTTCTTTCATACTAAACTGGACTTTGCCTTTATCCACAAGGTCAGCAATGAAGCTGTCTTTATTAATATTTGTAACTGGTTGCTTAACAAGTCTGAGGTAATGCATTTTAATTTGTTTTGTAGTCTACCCGAATTGGAATGTCTGTAAATGCCATCAGGAAGCAAAGTAAAGAAGAGGACGTCATATCTTTAGCAAAGTCCCTCATTAAATCCTGGAAGAAGCTCTTAGGTAAGAGAGTAAACTGAAGTCCTGCTAATGCGCTACCAATGGTTTATTCGTAGTGAGGATGTTAATTTATACGTCTTCAATATAGTACAGATTGCACTCCAATATCTTGTTGGAATGGTTGAGTCGAAAACATGAATTCCCTGTCTTTCCTCAAACAAAGTAGTAACTGCTATTGGAATTTGGAAATGTGTTGCACATTAAACATATGATGCAGAAATCTAAAGTGATCCAAACTCATCCGGCATATCTTTTACCAAAGGTGGGGTATGGTTGAGTTGAAACAGTGGTTACCATGTTGTATCTCTGAAGTGCAAATGTTTGTCATGTTCAGTGTATCAAGTGTCCCCGTCTAAAAACCTTCCTTTTTGATCATGCTTATGGTCATCTCCCCCCCCCCACCTCTCCCTCCCTCTCCCCCTAGCTCCACCACTGTCAAGTGCTCCGGGACACTACCCCATGTGAAGGGCGCTTTATAAATCCCAGTTGTTGTTCAGGTGGCTAGTTTCATGTCACAAACATAAAGAATGATCATGGGCAAATACACAGAGCTTCTGAGTTATGTACGTGGATGGTATTATCAAGTATAGAACTCACCTTAAATAACCGGTAAACTGCATACATCTCTAATTCATTCCTTAACCATTCTTGTTATGTAATACTGTATGTCTGCTTCTTAGACCTCTTCTGTAGTTGAGCTGGGTGTGATCTGCCTGCATAAGCAAGGTTATCGGTGGTTATGCAGTATGTAGTGTTGAAGTGAAACGCTACCACATAGTCGTGAAAGCTTCTTTGTTACACATTAGGTTGAAGTGACAACAGAGTGTGTATATCTCAAAATACCTTAAAAATAAATGGGCTGAAAGACATTTAACCTGAAAGCCACACTGCATGCTTTTTCAAAATACTGTAATTGAGACTTCAAAGAAGTGACTTAAGTGAACTACTTAAATACAGGCACACCTCTGAACTTGGAACTTGAGAATGTACAAGAGTGATAACGATTATTGCAATCCTTCAAAAAGGTTTAAAAAAAAGTACAACTCAGAGGCACATTGATTTAGAAAGAAGTGAAAATACAGATTATGATAATTAAAGTGCATTTTGGATTGTGTACAACTTTATGTAACAAAGTAGGAGGGAGAGAGCAATTTTCTTACAGTTCTATACGGGTGTCCTTCCATGTAAAAATAGAAAGGTATTGTGTAATGATCACCTGCATGCACAATTGGTTCTTCTGTTGTGTTTTTTCAGGCATTACTAATGTGATTGGTCATAATTTGTATATATTTGCCTAGTGTCTCATTTATGTTAATTCCCTGGAGGTGGATTATGGTTCCCCTAAAATTTTAATTCAACTCTTTGAAGTGTACTTGTTAACTATTTTGGAAGAAAAATCTAGTGACCAAGGGACAAAATGTTGTTCTTTCTTGTATTTTGGTGGATTCTTTATATAAGCACCACAAGCAATATTTCAGTGCTTCGAAACATATGTCTTTGTTCAAAATTTTAGAGAGGAAGAATTTTCATGTTAAAAGTCCAGTTGGACAAAAATATGGAATGGGCATCAAGCCAATAAGATAGAAAATGGAAAATACCATCAGAATTAAAATTTTGCTGCATAAAATTTACCATTTCTACCTATAACTCTGCTTTTGCTTTTGCATTCTTTGCTTATGCCACTGGGATCAAGGCTTCTTACTCAGCTCATAACCCTGAAAGCCAAGTTCTTGGTGGTCCTAGCTGGATAGGCAGCAGGGAGTTTGCCAGATTAGTGCTTTCAGTGATGAACTATGAAGTTTTAGCTTTGACTCTTACGAATCTGCACCAAGTGCTATCTGGAATTAAGTGAGCAATGTGCGTACTTCAGGGAAAGAATGCTTATTCCATTTCAAATCCAGTGAAATTTCCATGCATAAGTTACACATATATAAAAGTGGAACTCTCAGTTTGCTACTGGTTACCAGACTCCCAGCTGACCAAAACAAGTCCCCCGCTTCAATTTGTCCTTCATTCCCAGGCATCTCGAAGACATGATAAAGCGCTGTATGCAACAATAACTTGTAATTATATAGTGCACTCCACTCAGGGTAGTGCCTTAGAGCACTTAACAGTCATGGAGCCTGACTCCGAGCTGGGGAGGTAGGGGTTTGGAGGTGGTCGTAAGCACGGTCGAAGAGGAAAGTTTTCAGGCGGGACTTAAAAAAGGGGAGAGAGAAGGCAAGGCGGAGGGATTGAGGTAGAGTGTTCCAGATTTTGGGGCATAGTGGTCTCCGATGTTGGGGTGGAAGGTGCGAGGAACGAGCAGGAGGCTGGTCCCAGTCGAAGGGAGGTGCCAGGTGGTAGATTGGGGAGTGTGGAGGTCAGAGAAGTAGGGAGGTGCCAGGGAGTGAATGGATTTGAACATGAGTGTGAGAATCTTGAAGTCAATCCGTTCGGTGATGGGGAGCCCGTGGAGCTTGGCCAGAACCGGTGAGATGTGGGTTCAGAGCTTGATCCTGGTCAGCATGCGGGCGAAAAGAGTTTTGAATGAGCTGAATCTTTTGAATGGCGAAGCTGGGGAGACCGACGAGGATAGTGTTGGAGTAATCCAACCGGGAGGTGACAAACTCATGCACAAGGTTTTCGGCTGCATTTAGGGTAAGGTACGGTCAGAGGCGAGCAATGTGTCGGAGGTGGAAGAAGGTGGTCCTGGTTAGGGACCAGATGTGGGGGAGGAAGGACAGCTGAGGGTTGAACTGGACGCCTAGATTGCGCACTGGTTCGGTGAGTCTGAGGGAGAGCCCAGGAAGGTTGAGGAGTTTGGATTTGCAGGATGAAGACGTTGATGAGAGCCAAGGAGTATGGCTTCCGTCTTGTCCATATTCAGTTGCAAGAAGTTTACACTCATTCAGACCTTGATATCTGCCAGATATGCTGATAGAACATTGCCGGATCTGGAGTTGGTACTGGAGGAGACAAAGTAGATTTGTGTGTCATCCGCATACATCTGGAAGTTTACCCCGTGTCTGCGGATGACATCACAACTGCAAGGATTATTATTATTTATCGCAGTTGCTTATGCTAGAATTTAGTTCCTTTCCCTTTCTTTTCTCCTCTCTCTTCCTACAATCGTTTAAAGAATAGGATCATTGTTATGAACTGGAATTATCCTAGCCTGCATAATGTGACTGAAAGATTTACGTTAACAGTATGATACCACTGTGGATAATAGTTTATTTGGTTGAAGTGTAGAGGTTGGCATAGCCATGTGTCCATTTTTTCTAACAAGTGAAAAAATCACGGTAATTCCTGACCGCAAACTAGAGAAGATGAGTCATAGAAGGACACAGATCTGATCGGGCTGAATAGAGTTACGTAGTTGGGGATTTTTAGGTAGAGAATGTATGGAGCTTGAAGGACATAAGCAGAGTTAATGAGATATGGGAATAAGATGTATGGTGCAGTTTGTGTGTCTTGACTGCAGGTCAGCACTTGCTTTATGAAATAAAAGCAAGTAGTCACCCCAGTTCTTGTTTAATATTTAATTAATGAAAAGCTGGGAGTTTTAGAGTAGTAGGTTCAGTGCTAGCTAGACTCCAGACTTGTAAACATTTTAGCATTATAACAAGAATAATGACAAGAAAAATCACTTGCATTTATGTAGCAGAATATCATCTCAAAGCACTGGACACAGGATAATACTTCTAATACAAAGGCATTATATCAGTTGAAGGATTTTTTTAAAGCTTCCTATGCGTTTGTAGATTTACTTTGTAGATTTTCTGACAGGAAAAGACTTGATCAAGAAATATATACATATATATAAATAAAATATGTATATATATATATATACACACACACAGGGTGACCAAAAAATCGTGATAACTACCCTATTATCTAAAAAAAATCATAATTTCTTTAAGACTTATTAGACATTGTAATGGTACCATGACTTTTTGGTCAATCTTGTATATATGATATATATATAATATATATTATAACATTTCTCATTTATTGATTTTTAAACAATGGGCTGTTGCGGAGAAGGAGGAAAGCTGATTTTGTCAGTGATTGGATGAAAGTTTTGAAGGAGTTTAAAGGGTTCTGACTGAAGTGAAGAGGCGATGGCGGGAGCTGAACAGGATAAGCCTCAGTTTTGTCACCGTTGAGTTTAGAGAAAGTTCAGGCTCATCCAAAGCTTGAAGACGAACAGGCAGTCATTGTCAGAACGACAGTAGTTCTGGAGACGGGGTAGAGTCAGAAAGATAGTTAGGTGTTACCTGTGTGCCTTGAAAGTAATCCTCATCCCAGTCGATGATATCACCAAGGGCGAGATGAGGAAAAGGAGGATAGAGTCCTGAGGAACAATGCACGTGAGAGTGCAGAGGCAGAAGGAGAAACTGATAGGGAAGGATTACTTCTTTAAAAAATATAGGATTTGTTTAATATTCTAGGATTCTGTACTTCTGAAAGAGTTGTAGAATAATTGTGTTCAAAATTAATTCTAGATTTCTAATGTAATAGAAAGCCTGTCAGGAAATCTACAAAGTAAATGTGATCCTTAAAGGGCATATGAGACGCTTTTAAAAAAATCTTTCAATTGATATAATGCATTTCGCATCTGGAGAACAAAATAATTATAATTATTCCAATTGGAAAATGTCTCAAAGTGCTTCACAAGGTATACTGGAGAGTGTAGTGACCTTAGTTTGTAGGCAAACTGTATCTGGGGTGGATATGGAGTTATGCCTGTTGCAATATTCTGTTTTTAATTAACTATTTTTGAATTACCTGCAGTTGAGTTTTCTGTCATTTTCTTTAAAAAAATCTTGACTTGAAGATCTGATTGAACATCAGTGGATAATTCAAAAATGTGAACACTTGACATTTTGGTTTGTGGACCAGAATTTGAGGCTAGGATTCATTTGAATGGTTGATGCTAGAAAATCCATTCAGAACCATTAACCTTATTGTAAATGGAAAATAAGGTTGAGATTAAGGGAACTAGTTGCAAGAATGTG